AACAAAGTAATTGTTGAATTCTTCGGCAGATATCGATATGATATTCTTCATGGTTCGTTGAAAAAGGCACTAAACTATCAACAAATACTAGTTATTTTGATCATTCAGTCATGTTGAAATTGGGAAATGAAAAACCGGATTGAAACAAAATTATGCCATAGTGGAATTATCACTGATCATAACACAGATGTACATGAAGTGTTGTCAATTTCTCACTCTAATGAAAATATATTAAGTTTGAAACTATTTCAATTCAATAAATGATAACTAATCTGACCTCATCATCAAATACGTTTAACTCAATTTCCAAAGAATGACGAACCGATTAATAACCATATGCCGCAATTTGTAAAAAGCAATGGAAAATGTACAAAAAATTAAAAGTTTTCAAAAATTTATCGAATTCTATGTATTTAATGAACATCTTCAGAACTAAAATACAACTAAAGTAGAAACCATATATCTTATGGTATTTATTCAATGTCACTTGCTGCAACCATCAATTCTCAATAAGGTGTATAATGACCTCTTCTATAACTTGTTCTCATCGAAGATCTGTTTCCGCAATAAAATCCTCTACTTATCCCTCGTGATCCACGGAATGCACCGCGTCCTCTGGGTGGTCTATGCGTTGAACTTGTTCTTATCGAAAATCTGTGTCCGCAATAAAATCCTCTATTCACCCCTCGAAATCCACGGAATGCACCAAGTCCTCTGGGTAATCTATGTGTCGAAAAAATGCCTGGGCGATTCGTCCTTTTTGACATCACTGTTCCAGGACACCACGTGACAATCTGGTGTATTGTCATAGATATGTGGAATACTCAAAGTTTCGCTTTCAATAGAAAATTTCGATAATAAACTTAATATCATAAAGCAAATTTCAGTAAACAATAGATTTAAAGCTGAATTAATAGACAGACTTCTTTCCAAAGAAGTCAACACAAAAGCGATTCAAGATGTTTTTTCTATTTATAACTTAGGTAATCAAAATTATTGAGCTTTAACATATTTTGGACAAACAGTAGAAAAAGTGGCTTCATTTTTGAATAAAAGAAATATTAAAATTGCATATAGAATAGGTGATACGTTGAGAAAGTTAGTTGAAAATGATAATGACAAAACATCTAAATTTGAGACATCAGGAGTATACTTACTAAACTAAAAATTTCAAACATTCTAATGGATGACTAACTTGATTTAAATAGGTTACCATTTTCGAACTAACTGGTTGTCTTAAAAACCGATGAATTATTATTAATGATGTAATATGCTTGGAAAATGATATCGTAATTGATATTGTATGAAATTGAGGAATGAAAAATCGAAAAAACTATATTGTAAATAGATTATTCATAGTGTAATTTTCATTTATAACAACACAAATACACTTGCATTGTTGTTGAATATTTATTCGCATGAAGTTTGAAACCATTTTAATTTTCTAAGGGTTTTTCATTTCTGTTGTTTCTCTATTTGTATAAACCTGTCATGCCTGGGCGATTCGTTCTCTTTGACATAACCTGAAAATGGGAATATATTTTAGCTACGTTGTCCTTGACTCTTACATTATATTATTTCGCATTGACATAATGAAATGACACGACATGACGTAAAAGAAACAGTCGTACATAGTGTAACAAAACGGTAAGCAGGAACTTTTTGAACATTCCTACAACCACCACCAGCGAGGGCTTTTCACCTCTCTGGGCTCGTAAAAGTTGCGAGTACACATAGTAGTGCCCTTGGGGCTCTATGAACTTGGCTTCGCTTCACTTTATACTTCATGTTATGTCATCTTTCTTCTTCTCTCCCTATCTTCTCTCTGCCATTCTCTTCGATTCCTCAACAGAAGAAACCGGCTTAGCCTAATCTGTGAATATTTCTGTATAATGTATACCCTAAGTAGTACAGATGAACTGTGATTTTGAACTTGTGACAATACATATTCTTGATTGTTTTGTATGGTTCACTTTTCATGCACATCTTACTGCTGGTGTAGTTCAAGTAAACGATTTAGTGCAATCTACCTTCCAACGCCTGATGCTTTGTTTACATTTTTTCCAAATCAATTCGATGGGATTGAAAACACAAGGAGGAAGTCTCAGTAAAGTGTGTCCTTACTTTTCAGCAATACTCTGAAGGGCATACACTTTTTCGAATGTTTTTGTCTGTTAAACTTCAAGTAGTTAGTTTTTGATATAGTTATCTTCAAAATAAAAAGTTTTATACATTACAAAATTTTTGTATTTCATCTTTAATCGAATTTTTATTCGGTACTTTGATGAGCTGCCGCGAATGATACGAAGCGTTGTCAAGAACTGTTATACTATTCGCATCCAAATTTGGGATCAATGTGTTTTCAAACCATTCCCCTAAAACATTAGCTTCCATGTTCTTATGACAGTCAACATGACAGTTCTCAAATTTTTTTCCACATAATTTCAAAGAATTCAGAACCCATTCTTCACTTCCTATGCAATGCACAATGATTAGTCGCGATTCTTTGTTTGCAGGCATGTTAGGTGTACACATTCTCGAACCATTAGTCCACCCTTTCGTAACTGTGTCGTGAGTGTCATACCAAGTTTCGTCCAAATGGAAAATTTGCCATTGTTCTTGTCTATATTTAGTTATTTGTTCTAAGTATTTGTTACGCAATTCCACTATTTTTTTGCTTTCCATAACTGTTTGACGTTTATTTATTATTTTAAATCTAAATCCTAGTTTCATCCAATTCTGAAGAGTTTTGTCACAGCAGCTCACATTATGGCCGGAAGTATTCAATTTCAGTTGTAGGAATCTCATTGTTTTTGTAACAGTCGTATATTGTTTTTTTTATGATTTTATTAGATGAACATCTAAAGGTTTTGGTACTCCCGTATCACATCGCGTCTTGCGTTCATAAGGTTTGTTTTTGACTGTTTTACGTACAGTTGAGAAAGAAATTTCGGTCAAATCTGATATTGCTTCTAATAGTTTGTTTCCCTCAAAACCAAACTTAACATGTAGATTCTTATATACATTGAAACATACAAACGTACTCTTTGTGTTTCAATATTCAAATGCATCCGAATCACTTCACAGGAAAGAATCTGCGTTGTTATCACACTCGTTATTACTATTAGTACTTAATGAATCGAAGAGGTTTTTTTGTATTGAAGTGTATAATTTTTAGAATTCTCGCAAAGCGCTTTCGACTTTCGTCATCATCAGTGCTCACCTGAAAGTAAGTGATCTAATTGAAAAGGAAGTTTAGTGAAAATTGAAGTTGTACGATTTTTTTAATAATCTTTAAGGTTAAGGAATCTATTATTATTTTATTATCTGTACAATATCTAGATAATAAAAATTTCCTTAGACTTGACTTGTTTGAAGAGTTGGAGATTTCTAAAGAACTTTCCAATAATGATCATTGTTTGAATACTCAAGTAAACTTAAACAGAGATTTCCTTTCCCTTCATAAAAGGATTATGAATTATTAATTAATCACATCTCACTAATACAATGTATTCAATATTTTTTCTCTACATAATTAATCAAATCCATAATGTATCACTCCTCAAGTTGGTACCATTATTTCAACATGACACTTGACACATTCTGTCTCAAGTTGTCCTTCTTCATATAATACTTTGACTGAACCACATGGCCTCAATCCAAAAATGTATTTTCTTGGCTATAAGCCTATTTTGTTTTATATATGTCAAATATTACAAATGTGCAATGTACTAAATTTGATACTTCCTGTTGCCTGACAAGTAAGTAATCTTAAACAATTTTTCCAAATTTCTTAACCTTAAAGACCATTAAAAAAATTTTACAACTTCAATTTTCATTAAACTTCCCTTTCAATTAGATTACTTTTTCTTGGCTACACGCCTATTTTGTTTTATATATGTCAAATATTACAAATGTGCAATGTACTTAATTTGATACTTCCTGTTCTCTGACAAGTAAGTAATCTTAAACAATTTTTCCAAATTTCTTAACCTTAAAGACTATTAAAAAAATTTTACAACTTAAATTTTCACTGAACTTCCTTTTCAATTACATCACTTACTTTCAGGTGAGCACTGATGATGACGAAAGTCGAAAGAGCTTTGCAAAAATTTAAAAAAATATACACTTTAATACAAAAAAACCTGTTCGATTCATTAATTCAATTAAGTGTATTCAGCTTTTCCAAATCTATCTATTAGTACTTGTCCAAGGACGTCACATTTTAAACGGAAATCAAAAATTTCAAGTAATTATAACTGCACTAATATCGAATTTCAACAATCAAATCGCGATCAGTTCCTGAGCTTTTCATTGATAACACGCTGGGTATATTCGTCTCCGTAACATGACTTCAAATTTAATTTTATAACTCTTCAGCCAATCATAAAACTCGGCTAGTAAAAATTATCCAATACGAACCGCCAATTCTTCAGTCCACAAGGACTAGTTGGCAGCGGCATCATTTCTTTGTATTGTTCGCCGATAGCTTTAACTATTCACAATCCCGGTTACTTCGATACAACTGAAATTTTCTATAAAGTTGGGAAGTATATGTAATGTAACGGTCGAAAACTTTATGCGAACTTTGAAAGCTTTGAAGGCGAGTTATTTTTAGTTGAAGTAAATGAACACATCATCAATAATGAGTTTCTCTCTCGGGGAAACTTATTAATGGTCAATGGAGAGGAGTGGCATTGGGGACGCTGAATTTAATTTGGTGGTTTTCGTTTCAACGCTTTTGCGATTCGGTTAGGATTGACAGTCCTAATAATGGTGTTCACTTGTAGATCGATTTTCTAATTATGAAGGAGCTATATTGACCCTTTCCTGATAAAATCGAACCTGTCGAAATTGATGAAACTGATTGAAAGCTTGAAATCTCATATGTGTGTGAAACGGGTCTTATTCATAACTTATTCATTAGCAATTCAAATTTTTTCTGTGACATGAATATAGAACAATCTTGGAACAATCCAAAGAAACATATTTGGAACCCATAATGACATTTTGTTCTGTCATCAAATTATCAGTGTCATTTTCATCAGTTCAGCATGAATTCAAAATTATAAGTGATATGCCAAAATGAATCCAATTTCTTTCCCGACAATAATATGTCTGGTAGAGAAGTCATTCAAATCCATATTGGTCAAGCGGGTGTTCAAGTAGCGAATGCCTGTTGGGAACTATACTGCTTAGAACATGGAATCAAAGTAGACGGAACCATTTACGATTATGATAGGACTGATTCAAGCTATGGGGCCTTTTTCAACATCACTGGTGCAGGACAAGCGGTACCGAGAGTCGTCATGGTAGATTTGGAGCCAACGGTTATAGACGAAATTCGTACTGGATATTACCGCAATTTCTTCCATCCTGATCAGCTGTTAACGGGTAAGGAAGACGCAGCAAATAACTACGCAAGAGGAAAATATGGTATAGGAACAGAAATGCTGGATTTGGCTTTGGATAGAACTAGGCTCGTTGCAGAAGATTGTGGCCGTCTTCAGGTAGGTGTGTTGAAATATAATTACTATTTTTTCTAATGTGTATTTTCTTCGATTTTCTCTGATACACTTGGGAAAGCTCGCCCTCCTCGGGGCTTCGGGGGAAAGGGTCTGACTAGCGCAAACTACGGTTGAAAAAAAAATAATGCTTGCCGTTCCAATCTTACTCTACTCGTTTGGAGTAGTGAAGTGGACTCGGGAGGATCTGTATCAACTCGACGTAAAGACTGGAAAAATGATGCATCTCTATAGGAGTTTGCATACTAAATCGTCCGTTCCACGGTTGTACTTCCCCCGACAATAGGGAGGCCATGGATTTTGGATTGTCTACATAATAATAATAATAGCGTTTATTGCCCAACAGTGTCCCATTTACAGAGCAAAACTAACATACTTGAAGGATTAATACTATTTGATATAAAAACATAAATGACTTATAGGTACGCACGAGACTTATTTTTGATTTCACAAATACTGCAACAAAAATATCGATGTTAGTAGAGAGCTTGTTCGCATTACAACACATCAGATTGATTGGTGATTTCAACATTAAGTTAGTTTGTGCCCTTTTGCATAAAAAAGTATTGATGTACCTAGAAGATATTCTTGGGACAAATATATTAATTTCTGATAACAGTACAGGACAATCCAATTTGCCATTCAATAGCTTATATAGAAATAAAACAGATGCCTGATTTCTTCTTTTTTCTAAGGCTACAAAGTCAAATCTGCATAGCAGATCAGGGTAATCATAATGTAACAATTTTACATTTAGATATATTCATTATGTCTACATGACATAATGGTACTGGATACAGCCTGAAAAGTCGTCAGGAGTTTGGATCCCCTTCTCTGCATGGTCCGTGACTATGGGAGAGCAGGAATTGGAGCATTTCTCTTAAAGGTAGCTGCCCGAGCAGCTGATGAACTCGGTATAGTTCTCGACACTGAACGAGGTGACCACAACTATGTCACCTAGTTGGAACCCGTTCAGCAAAAGCTCAGATAGAAGCCGCGGAGATCACCTCACTTCTGCGGAAACACAAGGATAAACCAATGCATGGGGTCTTCTTCAATAACATTGGATACCTTGGCTCATCAAAGCGCCTGACGTTCGCTTTTCTCAGGTCGGGTGGGTTGAAGTCGGAAACTGAGGGGTCCATCATGGCTTGCAAGGATGGTATCTTCAACACCTTAGTCTACCGCAGTCGCGTGATGGGTATAGAGGTTCCTGACACAAGGTGCAGGACCTACCGCGAGAAGTCCAAGACCCTAATGCACTTGTCATCAGCATGTCCAGCATATGCGGTCTCGGCCTATATCCATCGATGTAACGCGGCCCTAAGAGTACTATATTACCATCTACGGCACTCTTACGGTACTGACGAGACATCGGTGTTGCCCTACGCTGCGGGTGATATTGAATCCGTGGTGGGGAAAGAGAAGTACAGAATTTATTGGAACTATTCGTTCTCTACCCTCAGGCTCATGCAAGCTAATGAGCCTGATGTACCACCAGAGCAAAACGATATTTGTCGTGTAGTTTTCAGCTCCTGGCGAGACGAATATCGTCAGAAAAGCGGAGGAAAAAGAGATGAAATATCGAGATTTTCTCTTCGAACTCCGCAGACTCTATCCAGATCACTTGGTCAAGATGGTTGTTCTGATTATTAGAGTCCTTGGTGGAATGATGCCCTCTCTACTCTCGAATCTTAAAGTCATACCGGCTTGCCGCACTAAGGCAGAAATCTCAGCCGGATAGATGCAGAAGGCTGTCATTCTTGGCTTACTGCGCTTGCTCAGGGCACATAATTCTCTGATCCAATGATCACTTACCCCACGATATGGGGAGTGGTCGTGGTTGATAATGCTGGCGCGCCCTCCTTAATGTATCGGGGCTTCGGGCGATAGGGCCTGACCAGCACATTCTTTGGGAAAAAAAATAATAATAGATTTTATTGCCCCAAAGTGCAATATAGAATTATGAAATAGAATACAAACTTAAAATACAAACTTATATGGTAATCCGGCAAAAGGCAGAGTTCGGTCTTGACGGTAAGGAGAGTTTTCGAAAAGAAACTGAAAATTTTATGTAAGACACAGAAAATATATTTAGTGAAGATTATAATTACCATGAAGAAAAATACAATATATCAGACCACCCAAACTAATCTGTAATCAATTTTTGTCAGTTGCAATAGATGTGGTGACTGATCTTTTAAATGCAAATAGAGACAGATTTCTCATTTCTCATGTCCGTATTGTAAGAAAAAGATGACTTGAAAAGAGAAGTTTTGAAACGAGGAATTGTAAGTCGATTTTCAAGACGGATATTCACATCGTGGATTTGTGAGCGAAATCTCACTTTACTGTAAAGATATCGCGGTTTTTTAAAAAACAACATTTTGTGTATGAGAGAACAAAAATGAACTAAATGCCTTCTTCTCATATCTATCCAGCCCAGTTCAGAAAATGCAGGCGAAATATGACTACGTCGACGGAAATCACATATAATCCTGACACATGAATTTTGTATCATCTGAAGTCGGCGACTATCAGTTTGCAATAAAGCAGGCCCATATATGCAGTCAGTATAGTTAAGGTGTGAAAGAACAAGGTTATCGCATAACATGATCTTACATTTTTTTGTTAATAAATGTCTATTAGAGTAAATAAGTTTCAAATTACTAAATGCTTTTTTATCAATGGAAATAGGATTACTAAATTTCAGTTCAATATCTAGCATGAGCCACAGATTCCTCTCACAACTAGAAAATATCAATGACGAATTGTCTAGAAATAGGGTTAAATTGTGTTTGTTTCTTTCTCGTGGTTCTTTTCGTCCAAAAAGCAATACTTTAGATTCAGCTGGATTTATCGTCAAACAGAATTTCTTCGATAAAGAAGTCAAAGTTTGTAGATCGGAATTCAGATGGTCACAGGCAAGACGAATATCACTTTCTTTAAAGGACATGTGAAGTTGTGTGTCGTCCGCGTAATAGTGAACTGAGAAGTGACGTATATGTTTATGAAATTGCGAAGAATAAATAGTACATAGAAGGGGTCCAAGGATTGATCCTTGGGGCACTCCTCTTTTCATAATTGCAGGATGAGACAGGATTCAATTGAACAGTACAGACTGAACTCTTTCAGATAGATATTGCTCAATAACATCCATTGCATCATCTGAGAATCCTATAAAGTGTAAAATAGCCAATAAAAGTTGGTGGTTAATTTTGTCAAACACCTTGGAGTATTCAACAAACACGAGATCTTTGCAATAGGAATATCATTGGATTTTTTTAAACTTCAGGAATAACTCTGTTCTCTGAACAAAGATTGAATATATACTCAGGATAGGGTAGAATAAAGAGACAGCAGTGCAAAATCATCTTGACACTAAATTCGTTAACTCCTACTGCATTTACCTCTGTCAATAATAACCTTATTCTCCCCATCACGCAGTCTGGCTTTAGACAAAATTATGGTACCATAAGTGCTCTTTCTAATATTACCGATGGTATTATACATTCATGTGATAAGAATGGAGTAACTCTTTTAGTTTCACTCTTTTAGTAACTCTTTAGTTTCACTATGAACCATGCTTTATTATGGGCCAAACTTTGTTATTACGGATTCGATGAGAAAAGTCAATCTTTTTCCAAATCTTTCCTCAGTAATAGAACACAGCATGTTCTCATCAATAATAACTCATCATCAGAACTGAACGTAATACATGGGGTACCTCAGAGCTTTAAACTTGCACCTCGTTCAGAGTCGAAAACTATACCGAGTTCATCAGCTGCTCGGGCAGCTGCCCTAAGGAGAAATGCTCCAATTCCTGCTCTCTCATGGTCACAGACCATGCAGAGAAGGGGATTCGAACTCCTGACGACTTTACAGGCTGTATCCAGTACCATTCTGTCATGTAGACACTCCAACCTCAATAGTCCACGGCCTCCCTGTTGTCGGGGGAAGTACAACCGTGGAACGGACGATTTGAGATGCAAACTCCTATTGAGATGCATCATCTTTCGGGTTTTCACGTCGAGTTGATACAGCTCCTCCCGAGTCCACTTCACTACTCCAAACGAGTAGAGTAAGATTGGAACGGCAAGCATATTTGTTGCAGCAACTTTGTTCTTTCCCGACAGTTCCGAAGACCAGATCTGTCGAAGTTTGTCTGATACTTGCCGCGGAGAGAGGTTTTCACTGCTGTTACCTCATGTGAGTGGTGTTGTTCCTCCCCGAGGTAAGTATACGTCTCTCCGGAATCCAGATGGTGTAGGATGCTCCCATCTACGAGCTGCACATCCTCTCCGTAGTCCCCGTATCGTCCTCTTTTGAGATGGACCATTGCACATTTGTCTATCCTGAATTTCATACCGATAGCATGCGTGTACTCTTCCACCACCCTCAAGGATTATTATTATTATTATTATCATTATATATCACGTTGTAGGGCTTCATAATTTTTCGAGCCTTTGGAGGAGGCACTGGAGGTGGCTTCACGTCTCTTTTCTTGGAACACCTGGGTATCGACTACAGAAAGACTAGCGTTCTGGAGTTTGCAATCTTCCCAGCACCTAGAGTATCGACCATAATCGTGGAACCGTATAATGCTGTTTTGGCAACCAACGCTTCGATCGAGCATGAGGACGTGTGTTTCGTGATGGACAACGAAGCCGTCTACGACATTTTGAACAGAAGCCTGGACACCCCGCGACCAACGTACACCAACCTGAACCGCCTCCTGGGGCAGGTGGTTTCTGCGGTAACTGCTTCTTTGAGATTTGAAGGGGCTGTGAACGTAGACTTGACTGAATTCCAAACTAACCTCGTTCCGTATCCGAGGATCCATTTTCCCTTGATCACCTATGCTCCATTCATACCTGCGAACAAAGCATCCCATGAGCAGTTATCTGTTGCGCAACTAACGAATGCCTGTTTCGAACCGGCCAATCAGATGGTTAAATGTGACCCTCGTAAAGGTGAGTGAAATAATATTATGACTTATCATGTTTGAATTCCATTTGAGTATTTTAGAGTGGATGTTTCTCAAAAATATATAATATAATAATAATAAATCGGCTTTATTGATGCTACATAAAAAAACAATACAAAGATACATTTGAAAATGAAAATAAGTTACAGGAGATTCTGGTACTCATCGGCGAAGTCCAGCTCAAAGCTATTCTAACTCAACCAACAAGCACCACTCCATAATGCACATACAAAAATAAAAGACACTTAACAGTGAAGAGAGTTGATAAATGAATAAATTTAATTGATCTGTTGTTTATTAATTTGTCCAATGAGCAAAAGTTGACATTACTGACGATCATAGATATAATTTTTATATTTGCTTTTGAATTTCCTGATATTTAATCACTTCAATTGCAATGAATTATAGTTTTACAGCACCGAAAAGAAATGATCTCTGAAACTGTGCAATGCAATGTTGTGGCATAGTTAATTTGTTCTCATGTCTAATGTTTCTTGAGTGAATATATTCACGCAGAATTAGTTTTCGTATTAAAAGAGAAGAATGAGGAAGAGTAATCAATTTATGACCAAAACAACCCAAATGATGAATCATACGGTTATTCATATTGAGCCAGCGGGAGTTTTTGAAGGCTTCAGAAATTGAATCATACCTACGAAGTCCATAAATTAGGCGGCAACAAGAATTTTGCACTTTTTGTATTTTTTTATGTGAATCATATAAGTATAGCACATATATGAAGTCACAGTAGTTGAAATGGCTTAGCACCAAACTATCATAGAGCATTCTTTTCAGAGGTTGACTCAAAGTAAAACGATTACTGTATAATATTAAATGACATATAAGCTTTTGTCACAAAATTTTTTACATTACTAGTGAATCTAAGATCAGTGTCAAGCATCACCCCTAAGTTTTTAGCTGTATTGACAAGAGTCAAGATAGTATGACCTAGTTCTAAATGGAAATTGTTTTCTGCAAATTTACGATTCTGCTATTCAAAATGCATCATCATTGTTTTATTAGGATTACCTTTCAAATCATGTTCATATGATAGTTCATTGATCAAATCAAGATCAGTGATGAAGAGATTTTGTGACTCAGCATACTCATTTAAAGTGCATGTAAAATTGTATGTCATCAGCATACGCCTGTATTTGACACTTCTTGATGGACGAGATAATGTCAGAAGTAAAAATGATGAACAATAAAGGTCCCGAAATGGAACCCTATGGCACTTCTGATGAAATATCAAGAGATAAGGGGTGATAGTTATCGCTAATAACTATCAGAATTCAAATTAAAGTTTTACTCAGTGATGAAGAGATTTTGTGACTCAGCATACTCATTTGAAGTGCATGTATAATTGTATGTCATCAGCATACACCTGTATTTTACACTTCTTGATGGACGAGATAATGTCAGAAGTAAAAATGATGAACAATAAAGGTCCTAAAATGGAACCCTGTTGATAGTTCATTGATCAAATCAAGATCAGTAATGGAGAGATTTTGTGACTCATCATACTCATCGATTTTAAAGTGCATGTATAATTGTATTTCATCAGCATATGCCTGTATTTTACACTTCTTGATGGACGAGATAATGTCAGTAGTATAAATGATGAACAATGAAGGTCCCAAAATGGAACCCTGTGGTACTTCTGATAGATATCTCCAAATAATTTTTATAATTTCGAGCTAAAAGAAACGATGAGTTGTGAGGATGAACTGCAGAATCAATCGTTTTCGGATTTTTTTCTCCTATTCTATTTCTCTTCAAATCATGGGTACACATTACAAAATATAGATTGAAGAAACTATTGCCACAGAAATGCTTGATCAAATTCAAAATTGATAATAAATGTAAACTTGCAATTAGGGTTTTCTGATATATCGGTAAGAATATTATTATGTTTGTGCAACTATTCATAGTAAAAATGCAAAAAAAATGTTTGGAAGGAAAAACGTGAAAGTTGTTGACCCGTCAAAATTAGGATATTTTTCTCATCTTCATTGTGGGGGCCCTTCCCTCGTGGAGGTCCCGAGCAGTAGCCCCGCCTGCCCTCCTCTAAATCCGGTCCTGGAAATACCATTCAGCTACAATGTTAAAAGCAACAAGATTTCTCTTTTTGTCAGCTTCAATTCTAATTATATTGTCATGCATTCAATTTGCTTGAAAGTGTATCTAAACCTTTATTCGAAATTCCCATGAGAACATTTCTCATTTTCATTCGAAAATGTATTTGGTTCTGTATAAACTCATCATGTACTAATTTCATTCCAGGTAAATATATGTCTTGCTGTTTACTCTACAGAGGCGATGTGGCTCCAACCGACGTTAACAACGCCATCATGAACATAAAAAGTAAACGATCGATACAATTCGTAGACTGGTGTCCAACAGGGTTCAAAGTAGGGATCAACTACATGCCACCCGTGGCGGTACCTGGTGGTGATCTTGCTAGAGTAACTAGGGCTGTTACGATGCTTTCTAACAGTACTGCTATAAGAGAGGCTTGGGAGCGGTTGCTCCAGAAATTCAGTTTGTTGTACTCGAAGAGATCATTCGTTCACCACTACGTAGGTGAAGGTATGGAAGAAGGAGAATTTCAGGACGCTAAAGAGGATCTTCAGGCTTTGATTTTGGATTATAAAGAGGTTGACAGCTGATTCCCTGTATACTTAGCTATGAAGATATATTTGAAACTGATTGAAGAATCCAAACAAAAATAATACGTGACGCTTTGGAGCACTGTGTAAGAGGACGGAAATGTATTCAACCCCGTTTTTAAAAATCGCTGATATTGGATGGTCTTTTAATATCATGACACAGCAGTCATGATATTAAAATATGATATGATATTTCACATGAAATATAAAATATTATATAAAGTTTCGTGATATCATTGTAATATAACAGATGTCGTAATAGTAATGTCTCAAATAACGTAGATTTCAATGTTGCCATTTTGGTGTGAAATTGGTTGTATTGAAGGTGATACCACCATATTGTTACAGTTACAGGAAATGCTATTATTACAGAGTATATATGAAATAAATATTGAAAATAATGGAATATAAAAATGTATAAAAGTAAATGCTAAAACAAAGTATATATAAAACATTCGTATACGTAGAATTTCAAAAGAGGAATGAAAAATTGAGTATATTACAAAAAAAGTTACAAATCATGCAATGTAGCAGTACTGACACAAATGTTCTTACTAATAGTATTAAAAGTGATTGTGGATATTGTGGATACATGGTATCAAGGCGTTCAGAGAGTCGAAATGAATGTTGCAATGTTCACAGATTTCATTGAAGCTACTGCGCATAAAATTCAATGGTTATCGTGGCATAAAATTTGTGCGTGATGCTCCGCAATAGAATTTCAGATTGTGCCGACCTTCACTTCTTGGTACTGAGAAATTGATACTGTCGTATGTTATACCAAGATCTTTTATCTCATGTACGCGGGTGATTGTAGTATTGTTGATTGAGTAATCGTATATTGAAGTTCGCTTTTTTGTTGTAAATTATATTATTTTACATTTGGATACGTTTAGTTGTAGACGATTATTATTACACCAAAGTTTCATTACATCTAATTCATGTTGTAACTACACGTTGACAGTCAGTAATGTCGTCGATTTTATAATATAGTTTCAGGTCGTCTGCTAATAGAATATCCAAAGAGGTTGTCAAGTCATTAATGAAAATTGAAAATGAAAGAGGTCCAAGATTAGAACCCTGTGGTACCCCAGATGTAACTATGTACTGAGCCTATTTGAAAGATTCATATTCGACGAATTGTTTTCTGTTAACTGAATATGATTCAATTAGAGTAAGCAGTTGGTTAGAGAGTCCCAATTATGTCAATTTGCTGAGAAGAACGTAATGGTCTATTTGATCGAAGGCTTTTTGAAAGTCTAAATGAACAACATCGAGTTGTTTTTGCTTGTCCAGGTACGTACAGAGATATTGATTTAAACATGCAAGATTTGTCATACATGATCTTTGTTGTACGAAACCATGCTGAGTAGGAGAAATAACTTTTTAAATATGGGAGTACATAACATTTTGCACACACATCTCGAAGAGATTAGAAAAGTTACATAAAATTTAAATTGCCATGTAGTTTGTGATATCGCTAGAGTCGCCCTTTTTTCAATATCGTACAAATTCCAGCCATTTTCTACTGCCCAGGGAAGGCACAAGTTGATAAAATTAAGTTAAATATGTCTATTGAAGGTATAGAGAGAACGTCGATACAGTCCTTCATCTCCATCTAGGAACATTGTCAACGCCTGCGGTGAGTTTATTTCTTAATTTTTTTGAAGCAGTAGCAATATCGATTTCAAATAGTAGGTCAATTTCTCAATGCAAGAGGATGAATTGCTAATGAGATCGATAATATCATATATCATAGCCAAAATATAGATAGAATGGTTCACAAAATTGACCATTCAATGTACTCATGGTGACACAAAACTAGAAACTTCAACAGCTTGAGAGAAGAAGTTCCAAATGAAGAGGATCATGAAGAGGATCAATAACGAGCTGAAAATATTTGTTCGTCAGGATTCAACGGGACAGTATGTGACTTATTAATCTGAACATTACCAATTTACTGAAAATTCATCAATCCCAGTCCTCTTGGAAAGACAAAAAAATGAAATACGTCACATCAAATGTGTTCTTTAACAAATTGGGTACTTCAAGAAGATAGTAAAACAGACGTTGACCAAGAGACGGCAAGAGTCGTGCTTTCTTACTTCAAAGGCCTGTTGAAGAGAATAATTGAAACAAACAATTCCAACCCCGTTTACTGAATACCATGTGGATGATACATTCTCCATTCGTGAAACGAGCAGGCTGTGAAAGGTTGAAAAGTGGAATGTGGAGCATATTTGGACCTACCATCATGAGTAGAGTAGCTTGAAGTGGGTATTATATACAGGGTGGAACAATCGTTTAAAAAGAAGTTCAAAGAGGACACTTTTTTACCTCACGGTATACTTCATATGTTCATTCTCGATGTGTTATATTAGGAATAGAGATAGAACTAGTTGTCTTAAACCTTGAGGCAGATCGAAGTTAATGAGCACGATAAGAATATTCTCATCAGGTTTGGATTGAATGGATTTTTGGAGCATTTTTCAGATCTGGTCGAGAGTCTACCTATACAGGCCATTTCTTTTATCATGTGTCAACATTGCTATATTCCCAACCGTACCAGATATAAAGACAATTGAGCAAAGGTACCCAAATATCGTGAGAAATACCTATCTCCACAAATGATGAAGAAAAAGTTTTATTGCATCTGCAATGTATACTATAACGACGTAACAACAGATCTTTGATTGAAGGTTTCGTATCAACATTGCCACCATTAACTTTTTTCAAACGGACCTGTCTCCTTCATTAGATATATTGATGAAGCAATGAACCAATTCTGAGTGCCCAAAATTTCCAACCAAACATTTATTCCAAACCTTTCCTGGAAATTGTTTTCTAAGTGTGAATGTTCATTTTTTTTTCTAATGNTAATTTTTTTGAAGCAGTAGCAATATCGATTTCAAATAGTAGGTCAATTTCTCAATGCAAGAGGATGAATTGCTAATGAGATCGATAATATCATATATCATAGCCAAAATATAGATAGAATGGTTCACAAAATTGACCATTCAATGTACTCATGGTGACACAAAACTAGAAACTTCAACAGCTTGAGAGAAGAAGTTCCAAATGAATTGACACGAAAATGAAGAGGATCAATAACGAGATGAAAACATTTGTTCGTCAGGATTCAACGGGACAGTATGTGACTTATTAATCTGAACACCACCAATTTACTGAAAATCCATCAATCCCAGTCCTCTTGGAAATACAAAAAAATAAACTACGTCACATCAAAAGTGTTCTTCAACAAATTGGGTACTTCAAGAAGATAGTAAAACAGACGTTGACCAAGTGAAGGCAAGAGTCGTGCTTTCTTACTTCAAAGGCCTGTTGAAGAGAATAATTGAAACAAACAATTCTAACTCCGTTTACTGAATACCATGTGGATGATACATTCTCCATTCGTGAAACGAGCAGGCTGTGAAAGGTTGAAAAGTGGAATGTGGAGCATATTTGGACACACCATCATGAGTAGAGTAGCTTGAAGTGGGTATTATATACAGGGTGGAACAATCGTTTAAAAAGAAGTTCAAAGAGGACACTTACATATTGGACAAAAACGCTTCCAGCCTAGTTAGCGTAAAATTTTGAAACGTGTGGAGATTTTGAATTTAAACACGATATGAAGTAATATTCCAAATGCATTGAAAATTTTAGATAATTTCTTGCTCGAACTTTCAATATTTAACAAAATCACCAAGACAATTCATATCGATTTCAGGCCAAGACAAGTAATTACACAGTTCTGGTGCTTGCTAGACATTTCGATTCGACATAGCAATGGTGCAAACTTATTCATGGCCCAGCAATATCCACAATGATATACTTCGCACTTTCATTTCTCAGAACTATATAATACGATTAAACTCACATCAAATCATTAGGTGTAGTTTTAGAAATTACTATGGATCTTCATCAAGTAACGGCCGAATCGATCAGAAAAAAAACTCAGATAGTTGAATGTTTCATTGATTCAGTAAATGTAAAAAGTCACAATGTAATGTTTTTGTTGTTGCAACGGAATTCTGGAATAATTAACACGACTAATTCTCCAAAATCATTGCTATTGCGACTTTCATTGTCAAAATTTGAGAAAGTTCTGGTTGCTGTAGTTTTATCAATGATTGATTTTATTCTCAATATATCTCTCATAGAAAAGTTTATGTGCGTTCGAAAACGAATGTATAATAACAATTGTCCCGGTCATTTATCCGAGACAAGTACTGTTCCCAAACACCAGAAATGCAACACTCCTCTCGACGCGCGTTTCACGAACTGAGTTGGCGTTTTCAAGAGATGAAAAACATTGAATGTACTCACTAATTGAGTACTTGAATAATTGACAAGTTTGTTCAGAACTGCTCTCGTTGTAAAATGTTATATCGATCGTGAATTGAAGTGGAAACTTTCTGACAACTCGTACACCCTGTTAACACTGAAATGTTTGACTTTCAATCGAGGCAAACTAGATAAAACAAAACTTGGATATTCTGAGGAATACAAATACATCAAGTTTCGGCTTTGGCAGTTCTTAGTGATTTTACTGTGAATTTGAGTGCAACGGGAAAAAGTAAATAAATTAGAAATTTCAAGAATATGAAGAAACAATAGATCAACATTAGGTTCGCGGAATACTGAATTAAAGATTAACTCTTGTTCATACATTATCAAATTGATCATTTCAACCAAAGAATGAAATTACACTCGCCTGCAAATTTGAGATGGTGAGTATTCTTAAACATGAGATATTTCTGGTGAAATATTGTGTTTTACTTGTTTTTGATTATTTAAAACAGGTGGTGGTAAAAACCCCTCCTTGTAATAGTAGCCAAAAGCTACAGCGTCGCACAACACATGAGACAACCTCGCATTTAACTATATAATAATAATAATAATAATAATGGCTTTTATTGATGGTTCCATACAATTACAACCAATCAAATGGCAGGATTCAATATCTGCGTATAATAAATCATCGCAGAGATTTTGTTGAGCTTGGAGAAAGGTTGCAAGAGAATATTTTTTTATCTTTCGTTTGAAGTTTCCTAATGGCAGAGATTTATATTCAATGAGTATCCAATTATATCAGTGGACAACATGGTAAGTGAAAGATCCGCGAAATAGAGAAGTTTTATGCTGTGGTACTGTTAAATGTGTCCTGAATCTCAAGTTTAGATGGTGTACGTCAGTTCTATAGGATATTTTTTCGAAAAGATAGGATTGTTTTTTGTTTTGAAGAGTTTCTGAAAAAATTTTGCAGAA